GGAGCTGTTCAAATATTAACCCCTTAAAGACCAACTGTTGCACGCGTTATCAACATTTTAGGCTTGAAAATATCTTCAAACCCCCAAACAGTATATATTTTCTGAAGGCCAAGGCCGTGTAGAATAAAATAATGCGAGTTGCAAATTTTAAGGATGCACAATATTAGCTAAACTTATCATGAAATACACTTAAGTTAAATTTAGTGCCCCAAAGCACAATATTATAACAATTTTTTTTTCTGTAAAATATAAAAGAAGAGGTTACAACAAGTAAGATACCCAACATGCCCAGGTAAAAATTGCACGTGTCCGTGAAACAAAATTCAGCACCCAAAAAGTCTAAAGCTTTAAAAATCCACCACATGTCATTAGTTTGGAGATACGTGTAAATATTGGTCCTAGAATTATTGCTCAATTATTGCTATTTTTTTGTTTGTTTTTGTTTTGTTAGTTGTTTTGAGTTGTGGTTTTATTGTCAATGTTCACAATGTATGGAAAGGAAAAAGAAAAAACAAATAAATAATATCTGATTAAAAAAAGAATTATTGCTCTCACTTTGGCATGTGAGGCGATACCCAACATGGGTAACAGGATCGTCATTTTCTGACGTAGATGCTCCCGACGCATGTTTACGTAAAGACGTGCATGCTCACGGGGGTGGGGGACTCTAACACATTTTTTTAACTTATTTTTACATTTATTTTAATTGCTATCACATAAGGGGATTTACAAGCCCCCTATGCAATAGCATATTGGCAGTGACAGGTACCAAATGACCCCTAGTGTCACCTTTCCGCTTTAAATAAGCTATTGAAGTGCCCATCGCACTTCAATAGTTTATTGCTGGGCTTCAGTAGCTGAGCAATGACAGCTCAGGGACCAAAAGTGATGTAATGTGCATCGCTCCCAGTCCCATAGAACAGGGAGGCGGTGAATGGAAGTTTGCCGCTCTCCCCCCCGGCTTCCTGCCGGCACCCGATATGCCAGTCCCAGGCTCACAAGACCACTCCCTGCAGAGCCTGGGAAACATGGGGGGGGCGGGCACTTTGCCGCCCCGTAGAAGCGATCTGGCAGCAACTGAGTCATCAGAATCACTTATATTGTAAAGCCAGCCACCAAAACCAAGCTTGCCGCTGGGAGTCTGTTTAAAAACCCTTTAAGAACCCATTTTAAAAGAAATCCCATCATGGGTCGTTAAGGGGTTAAATGCAAATGTCTTACATGTAAACAAGTTGATAGGCATTGTTGATTAATTAGCCTGCACACTTCATTCTCACAACATTTTCATTTCAGTAAAGCAGTACTCAAGCCAAAAGTGTTATTGCTGATTTTAAACCAATACAAGGAAGGGAGCAAAATCTCTCCAATGGGGGCACAGGCATCAGTAAACATATTTTAAAAAGTCTACATATTGACTACTGTTAACGTCTGATTGCATCAATATTATTCCAGACAGACATTTTGCTCCCCCCACTGAATGTAAGGTATTTATTATATTTAGGTGTTTATTATATTTAGTATTTAACCGAGTATTTAACTCGGAAAAGGACCAGCACTGAAATGCAGAGCGGTTAGTCTGCGGAGGACTTATAAAGTGATAACTAACTGCTGAGGTAATCTGAGGTTGATTTTCATGCTGCATGATGGAATTATGTCAGGCTAGGACATTTTTACACACACACACACACACACACACATATAGTTGTAATGAAAATGTGTCACCCCCATTGCAAATCAGGTTCAATGGCATACTTAACAGATGTTCAACTGTTTGCAATGAACAAATCAAACAATTGAAATAGGTCAACACAATGAATGTTTCAAGTGGTTCCCCCAAATTCTACTGAAAATGCAACTTTTAATGGCTTCTGCAGTCTCAGAATGATTCGGGTGGCACTCATGGCGGCGGTGGCCCTCGAGGAGGGGGAGGGGGGGCGCGCAGCCAGCCAGCACATACATACGAGCGGCAGGCTATAGAGCCACCAATCGTATGAATGTCAAACAGCCGGTAATGGCTGTAATGAACAGGTGGGTTTTTTCTGGCCGCGCGTGCGCTAGGGGGCGCACGCACGAGCAGAAAAAAAAAGCTGTCTAATGACAGCAACCCGCCAATGTGAGTCCCCGGCCGTCCGTTTTTTCACAACAGGCGGACAACAAGAGGTTAAGTTATTAGCAATTTTGATGGGTAATCATATTTCTCCTACACCTCATGAAGCTCTTTTTAATGTAAAGCTGTAATCACTCTCCCCCTTTCAATTTCAGCTCATTTTACTCATGTCCTCAAAAGTTAAATGCACTTAAGTTAAATTTAGTGCCCCAAAACACAATAAAATACCCATTTGTTTTCTTCAAATATAAAAGATGAGGTTACGACGAGTAAATAGATACAAAACATGCCCAAGTTACAAATTGCGTGCGTCCGTGAAACGGCGACAAAATTCAGTACCCAAAAAGCCCCCTGCAGCTCATCAGTTTAGAGATACATGTAAATATTAGCCATAGAATTATTGCTCTCACTCTGCCATGCATGGCCAAATCCAACATGTAGTGCAATCGACGTTTTCGTATGTAGGTGCACCCGACGCGTGTTTGCATGAATGTGCTCGCGGGGGGGGGGGTCAAGGACTTTAAACATTTTTGTACATTTATTTTATTCTATATTATTTTAAAAACTTTTTTCTTTTTACTTTACTTTAATTGCTATCACATAAACAATAAATACTTTGTTCAGGAGTATATAAGATACAGAACCGCCTAAAGAGTGCAATCATTAAGATGTAGCCTAGTGCCCCTTACATTGCTAGTCAGTTGGAGAAAAAACCTACGCGACCAATTGGTCTCGTCGGAATTTGTTTCCACTCCCCAGGAAACTTGGCTCTCGAAAACAATAAAACCTAAAGGGATGTTTGCTTGCGGACATTGTCATATATGCCCCTTGGTCCATAAATCCAAACAGTTTGTGGACTCAAAAGGTACTACCAGTTTTGATATCCTACATTTCATTAATTGTAACACAACGCGGGTTATCTACCAAATAGAATGCCCTTGCAAAAAGTTTTATATCGGGAAAACAAAACGTGAGTTAAAGATGAGAATAGGTGAACACCTTAGAGATATAAGAAATCATGATAAAGAGAGCCCATTAGCACAACATTTTTCTAAATACCATGGAGGACGAACCACAGGGATAAGGATTAAGGGAATATATGCACTCAAAATATCAGCACGTAGGGGAGACTTCAATACGGTCTTACTCCAAAAGGTAAAAATGTGGATCTTTAAGTTAAATACTATGGTCCCACATGGGTTAAATAACTAATGCAGTTTACAGGTATTCCTCTAGCCCTTACCCCTGTGGTTCTCAAATGCCTGCCCTATACGGCAAATCCTTGTCTACTTTATCTTTTCTTCCAAATACTCATTTTCAAAACTTTGCATAATTTAAAGACTAGTCCCTTGCAGACCAGGATTATAAGTCACATATAAGTAATTCTTAATGACTAATTTCTAATCTGTAACCTCTCCTTGTTCGCATAATAAACATTGAATTATCTCTACATTTGCGAACACCTGATACCCAAATCCTACCCTTGACTTTATATTATTACTTTTTGTCAAATCAACTGTCTGGCCTTTCATAAAACTTGAAAGGTATTATTATGAATAACATTACCTTTTATAATGGGTTTTTTAACTTTAATAAGTGCTAGCCGTGACCATATTTCTATCTTCAAGCCATGTATAAATAATTTAATCATGTAAACTACTACTCCCCTTTCCTTTATGTTGAATGCATGTATGTAAATTGAAAATCCCGAGCTCATCCTATCACAGCACTCAAAGGGTTAAAGGCATCACATGACTAGGTGAATAAAAACCTTGTGAGCCTGACCCCCATCAGGATCTGACGAAGCCCTGAAACCAAAGGAGGGGCGAAACGCGTCATCCATCCGTTTGTGGACACTAAGCCGACTGAACACCTGCATGTCAGGTCTATAACCTCCGGGTATTGGAATACAAAACAGCGCGATGCAGTGATTTCCTCATTGAATTATCGAGAACCATTCGGGACGCCCTATATATCATCTTATACAACAGGAAACCATCTAAGAATCCTGGATACTTTTTCTTCAAGTGGACTGGCCAATCGATATCCTAAAAAGGACGTCCAGGAGCAGTTGTCTACCGGTATCTACCTGATCGAATGCAATAGATTGCCCGGTGAAACAATCAAGCACCTGTGAGTATGGATCTATTGAGACATTACACACAGTTTGGTTGATTTCTCTTCCTCGTGTGATTATTACTCAGGGTGACACTTTGTATGATTCACCAGTTTACGGGCTTAATCTTAGAAACACTAAGATACATCTTCAATCAAGTTATTCATCCCGAGCACTGCCAGCTCTTTATTGGGAGTAAAAATTACATTAGTGACATTTAACTGGCCACACTAT